AGGGAAGCTGCGCAGGGCGCAGGGCCGCCGGTGAGCGTGACCTCGCCGCTAGTGCGGGCAGTGAACGGGGGCGCGCGCAAGCCCAGGCGCGAGGGCGTGCGCGCATGAGAGGCGTGGCGCGCCCCTGCGCTGTGGCCCGCGGCTGAGCTCTGCGGGGGGACACGCGGGAGCGAGCCCTGCGCGCGCACCTCTGTCCTCTCTACAGATGCGTTTGCTTGAAGGGGGAATAAGGAGGGTTGAGAATAACAGCGAAGTCCCAGATCCAGGGAGCTGGGAGGAACTTTAGAGGAATCCTAAAGGGCAGCGGAGCGTGCGGGCGCCAGCCCAGGAGGCTGGCTGTGGGCGTGGGTGTGCGACAGCCTCCACCCTGGACTCCGGATCCCCGCGGAAATCACTGGCAAGATCGCCGGGCCCCAGACTTTTCTGAGTTTTGGGGGCAGGGGCGGTCCTATCACCCTCGGACACAAGCACCACCGCACCTCCCGGGGCTCAGAGCCCCATCCCTGTTTGGCCACACCTTTGGTCCCGCGCAATCGGTTCACATGGTCCCAGCAATCGGGTGAGACCCAGCTAGCAGCAGAGGCCACGCGAGAGGGGTGGACACAAGTTCAAAGCCCCTGTAGGGATGGACGGCTTCTTCCCCAGGGGTCGCGCCGAGCCCCTCACCTGGCTCGGCTCCCGCAGCGTGTTAGCGCGGGACCGGAAGGCGTCAGGCTCCAGCGCCAGAGCCGAGGGCTGCTGGACGCTGAGGGGCCTTAGGAAAGTGAAGTCACTGCCGTCCGAAGCTGGTGAAAAGCACGTCCTGTAGCAATGGCTCTGCGAGTCTGCGGGCCGCAGCGTCACCTCCATGTACTTGAGCGTGCCGTCTGAGCTCACCTGCAGGTTGGGGCTCGACTGCTTATAGTAGTCCCTGGAAGGTGAGTCCTGCCGCCTGCAACACTGGCCCCCACCCCCATCCCCATCTGCGTGTCCCCGAAGGCACTTAGCTGACAGAAAGGTGAAGGTGACTAAGGATAACAGGCTGATGGCTGCGAGAGCCACAATGAGGTAAAGGGTAAGGTCTGAACGCTCAGGAGGGTGTGTGAAGAAGTCGCTGGATTTGGGCATTTCCTCGGGGTCCTCGTCCTCCAGAACCAGCAGCACTGTGGCTGTAGAGGAGAGTGAAGGGTCACCATTGTCCCTCACCAGGACCACCACCTGCTGGGTGTCAGAATCATCCTCCAGTAAGGCCCGGGCAGTGCGCACCTCACCAGTGTGTGCAGACACCAGGAACAGTCCTGGGGCTGTGGACTGTGGCAACAGTGAGTAAGAGAGCCATGCATTGTGGCCTGCGTCAGCATCCACGGCTGTCACCTTGGTGACCAAGGAGCCAGGAGGTGCAGATCGAGGGAGACGCTGGGGGACTGAGAGTTCCCAGCCGGGTCTTGGGTGCAGCACAGCTGGGGCATTGTCATTCTGGTCCAGGACAAACACATGCAGAGATGTGTTGGCATGCAACGGGGGAGAACCAGAGTCCCGCACCCCCACCACAATCTGCATCATCTGCAGCAATTCGTAGTCAAAGGTGCGCTGAGCAAAGACCCGCCCGTCTTCAGGGTTGACATACACAAAAGAGGAGGCTGGGGCTCCCTGAATCTGATTTCCTACAATGGAGTAGGTGAGACGGGCATTATCCCCAGCGTCTGGATCAGAGGCAGCCACAGTGCAGAGGAGGGAGCCCGGAGGCCGATTTTCTGGGATGTAAGCAGTATAGAGCTGCTGGGTGANACTCCTTGAATCTGATTTCCTACAATGGAGTAGGTGAGACGGGCATTATCCCCAGCGTCTGGATCAGAGGCAGCCACAGTGCAGAGGAGGGAGCCCGGAGGCCGATTTTCTGGGATGTAAGCAGTATAGAGCTGCTGGGTGAAGTAGGGGGCATTGTCATTAACATCTGAAATGTTGAGCCTGATGGTGAGATGTGCATGCAGGGGAGGTGAGCCAGCATCCCTGGCCAGCAGGTCAATGATATAGTGGGATGTGGCCTCACGATCCAAGGGCTGGCTGGTTAGCAGTGAGTAGTGATTCTCAGAGGGCTTGATCTGAAATGGCAGGTCTGGAGAGATACCAAGGCTCACTTCACCGTTTCTCCCTGAGTCTCGGTCTCGCACATTAAACAACCCCACTACTGTGCCCACTGGTGTGCTTTCCATGACAGGGTTGACCAAAGAGGCCAGTAGTACCTCTGGGGCATTGTCGTTGGCATCCCCCACATCCACTTGAATCACACAGTGGCCTTCCATGGCTGGCTGTCCTTGGTCACGGGCCCTTGCGTGAATTTCATAGAAACTTGACTCCTCAAAATCTATGGGACCCAACACATGGATTGCTCCACTGCTAGGATCTAGGCCAAAGAGACTCCGCACTTCCTCAGATGTATGGTCTCCAAAAGAATAGTCTAGTTGGCCATTGGTGCCTTCGTCTGGATCAGTGGCATTGAGGCGGAGCAGCAACGTACCCGTGGGTACATTCTCTGCGAGTCCCACACGAAGAACCGAGGACTGGAAGGTTGGAGCATTATCATTGATGTCCAGCACAGTGACAGAGATAAGGGTGGTCCCTGAGAGGGCTGGGACACCCCCATCCACAGCAGTGAGCACCAACTGATGTTTTGCCTGAGCTTCTCGGTCCAGCTGCTGCTCTAGCACCAGCTCTGGGAACAGCTTCCCATCTTTTAGGGTCTTCACATTCAGAGAGAAGTGGTTGTTGGGACTCAGAGTGTAGAAGCTCACGGTATTGGTGCCCACATCTGGATCCTGGGCACTATCCAGTGGGAATCGTGCCCCAAATGCAGCTGATTCTGAGATGTGTATCTCTCGCTCAGGGATGGCAAAGCTAGGAGAGTTGTCATTGAGATCCAGGATCTCTACCTCGACACGGATTAGTTCCAGTGGGTGTTCGGTCACCACCTGCACTGGCAACAGGCAGCTGGTGCTGGATCCACACAGGCTCTCTCGGTCAATCTTTTGATCTACTGCCAGAGCACCACTCGTCAAGCTCAGGGAAAAATAGCGCCCATTTTCCTCAGAGCCCAACTGCAGCCGGCGGCTCAACAGATCTGTCACCTTTAAGCCTAGATCCTGAGCAACATTCCCCACCAGCGTCCCCGGCTCAGACTCCTCCACCACGGAGTAACGAAGCTGCCCAGACACCCAGCCCCAGCAGCACAAGGACAACATGCACAGCACTTGCCATTTCCCAGCGAGCTGTGGGGGGTTCTTGGGCCCCATGACCCAGAAGTCCCTCCTGGACACTGACTCTGTGCTGTCCTGTCTCCCAGGTAGACCCAGGGCTTGGAATGTAGCAGCTGAATTCTCTTGTGTCTCCTTCCAGCTTCTTAAAAACTGCTCCGAGGTTTGTCTGCCTGCAGCAGTTCTTCTTAGTCACCGACTCGCGGGGGTGG